TCGCAAAGTAAGATACATTACATTTTATACATAATACACTAATATGATGCGCGAGATACATTAATTTGAATGCCACACTGATACATTAAAATAATGCGTGAAAATTAAAATTTTTGAAAATTTATAAAACTAATAAGGAATAATAATAATAAGAGAATTTAAAGGTGGAATTTCGTTCATATTTCCTATATTTTCGAGAAGGGGTCCAACCCAAAATTCTAAAAGCCTTTTTCATACCTAAAAGGCCCAAACCCATATGGGAATATGTGATCGCTAAAAAACGCTTTTAATGTTCGATTCCCACTCACAACTTCTTTCTATTATACGAGCATTCGCACCTTAAATATTCCCCACTCACCAAAAAAGCTAGGGTTTTTTTTTCCTCCCCTTTATTTTTCTTCTTTTTAGAATACCTATTTTCTTTTCTTTTTTCTTGCGCAGAGAAGAAATTCCGAAAACTAGCAAACCCTTCGATTTTCCATCTTCAATTGGCTTTCCTCCTTCTGTTAACTTTGATTGATTCAGTGAGAAGGCGAAAGCTATGGGAAGAGGAAAGTTCAAGGGAAAGCCAACTGGTCGCCGCCAGTTCTCCACTCCTGAGGAGATGCGTATGTCTCTTTTACTTGCCTTTACGAATCGCTAAGTTGATTCCTTTTTTTATTTGTAATATCAATTTTTGAGATCTATTACTTGGAATTCGAATTGTTTTGTTTGGTTAAAGGTCGATTGGTGATTGAAGGTTATTGCTTTAATTGATTTGTTTAAATTTCTTATGGTAGATTTGTCAGGAGAATTTTCTTATCTTAGGTGAATTTAGCTGGATTTTCACAATTAGTTGGAATATCTAATGATTATTGTGTTCGAAGATGTTGACACTGTGGAGTATGTTTGAAAATTTACTTAGTGAAGGTTTGCTTATAATTGATGGTTAGTTGGATAGTTGAAGTAGTTGTAGATATGTTTTTTGTTTATTGTGGATGAAGTTGTATATTCACAAACCTTATTTAGGTTGCAGTGCTCATTGTGTATGTGTGTGTGCCATGAAAGATTTTACTTTGTGTTGGTAGCAGAAACTTGAATGAGAAAAAAGGTTCTTGAGGGGTGAAAAGTAGTTATTTTTCTCATTGTATAGAATCTTTTTATAGGTTGAAACTAAGTTTTCAGTTTATGCCTAGTGCAATATAACTACAGTATCCTGAAATATCAGATTGATGTGCTTAAACACTTAAGTAATGAAGAAAGGATTTTTCTTTAGGCATTAGCTACAACACAAATAAGAGTGACTTAGACATATAGCTTAATCATCATACTATTATTTCAAGAACCTGGGGGGTCATGCATGGTGCAGGAACTCTAATTGCTGATTCCCTATGATCTTTTGGTTCCTGTTAGTGGTGAGATCTCCTTCCCATATCCCCTCCCTTCGCTCATGCAATTTCTCTGTCTTTCCATGCATGTACTGGTGTAACGAGTTCTCTTCCATGTGAAAACTGTGTGCTAGTAATTGTGGATCTGGCTGCTTTATCTTGAGTCTGTTTAATATTTATTGCGCCTTCTGTTTCTTAAATGAGACACTGGTTATAAATACCTATTTATTCAAATAGTTGACATACTGGAGCTGACATGGCATGGCTTGTATGCTTGCAATGAACTGCTCATAGTCTGCTAAGTCATTCTTAATATTTGCTTTTATTTTGCAGTTGCTGGTACTTCTCGACGTCCTCGCACATTTAAGCAGGTGAATATCTTTGGCTTTCGTTTTTCTTTGCTCCTAATAAATTTATATCCTCTTTCTTACTTTTAGAAGTTAGTCTATGCATACATCTTAGTAAAGAGGGGTTAGCACTGATGGGTCAGCTTCACAACATTATTTATGGTGTTCTCCTTGAAATTGTACTGCATGGAACTTCAAAACTTAACTTCTTTATGAAACATAACCATGTGAGATGATAGCCATTGCGATCAACTTTTTGATGTGGTATGAGAAGAATTGTCAAAATTATACAATTTGTGGTATGTGAATGTGTTCTCATGACGAGCTAGAGTGCGTTAATCAGTCACCTTTGTGTTGTGTGTGCAAACTGGTGTCATTATCTTGTAAACAGTTTTTTCATATTTGTTGCCTTGTTAATAGTTAAAACATCCTCGTTGACTTACCCTTCGAAGGGCATGCTGTGACTCTGCCTGGGATGTTTATTCTATTTTCTTCTATGTTTGTGTCCATAGATGTTAATATATCTCAGTCATCAAAAATCTTCTCTTGTGCATGTAATCTGAGATTGATGATTTGAATAATATGCATTATCTGATATATGATGAAAGAAAATTGCCTTTATAATTAGTATTGCCTGCATGCTTAACTTCTATTGTGTGCTCTGCCTAATCAATTTTTGAGGTCTTCAGGAAGAGGCTGAAGCTGAGGATAATGAGAAATTTGAAGAGGAGTCTGAAGAGGAATCTGAAGAAGATTCTGATGGAGAGGTCAGTTATTTATGATTCATTGCTTCATTTTCTTTACACTTTAGGAAAGAGTAAGTGGTTTGTGACAACTGCTACTTCTTAATCTTTTCTGTATTTCCCTTACTAAAAAAACTAGTGCACTACTTATTGTAAACGAATTTGTGACATACTATACTTACATCTCAAGTTATTTGAGGTTTGACTATTTGAATCCTCATTTCAAAGTTGGAATTGATTTAATATGGAAATTTGCGTCCTCTATGCTTTGTGGCTGTGGAAAATGTATATTCAGATGCTCACTTCTTTTATTGTTCCAAACAGAGGCGGAAAGGTACCCAGGGTATCATTGAGATTGAGAACCCCAATTTGGTGAAGCCAAAGAACGTGAAAGCTAGAAATGTTGATGTAAGATGGGGCACAGTGAACTTGCATTTTTTCAATACTTCATTTAATTGTTTTTGGATGTAACTTTGAATGTGGGCATTTTCTGTGCAGATTGAGAAAACAACTGAGCTTTCAAGACGTGAAAGGTAAGTTGAAGCTTTTTTTGTGTTTCCTTTACAATATGATCCCAATGAAGTCACAGATAAAGAAGCCTTTTGTATGCCTCCTATATGTTTTGCATGAATACTCCCTCCCTTTTCTGTTCTTGGACTTCAGCAACTACCCTATTTTTTTTTTCATTTTCTCATTGTTTTCACTGTCCTGCATCTTTTGAGTTTCAAACCTTGTGTCACTAATCTTTGGGATTTCTCTATCATCAATTTTTTTAACTTCCTGTACCACTTTAATGATTGGAGATATGACTGCTAGTTTGGTCCTTTTACTTGTTATCAACCGTTGTCAGAGAGAATAGAATATACAGGGAATAATATCTTTCCCAAAGTTATTTCTTTTAGCCAGAGTTTGTCAATGTCTAGGAAGTTCAGGATGTGCCAAATCTCACGGACACCTTAAAGGCCCGAATTTAAACCGAGATTAGTTCTTATTTTTCTGCGACAAGACTATATTCCCAGGCCATTGTTGCAGATAGCTGCTTCTTTGCATGGGAAATACTCTTTGCTCTATCCAAAATCCCAGCTACTTGTGTCTGTGTTTAGCTCAATGGGTGCAATGAACTTGTATTACATACAGCGGGAACAATTGTAGGCTTTTTGTTATTGTTATATTTTGGAAATTATACAGTATTTTTGTGTTCTTTGGAGTGTTGACAAGTCAAGCTAAAAGAAGGAAGAAATATCTGAAGTCTTGTGTATTAATTCTGTTACTGATACATGCAACACGGTAACATAGTTGGTGACATATCTTCTGGTCCTCGGTAACTTCTATGTCGTTATTAATTTACATGGTACTTGTTCACAGGGAAGAGATAGAGAAACAACAAGCTCATGAGAGGTATATGAGGTTGCAAGAACAAGGAAAAACAGATCAAGCTAAGAAAGATTTAGGTAATATTACAGAGCAATGGCTCTAGCAATAGACTTACTTTGTTTTGCTTAGAATTATCTGGTCTTGTTGTTCGTTCTGTGTACTTAATAGTTTGTTTGAGCTGTTGGGTGGGTGGGTTGAGGTTTTTTCATCAGAATCAAATTTTATTCTCAAGTCTAATTTTAAACGTCTTGTTACTTGAATATGATCATACCATTTGTAAATATGTGGTGATGTGAAGGACTGTATTTGAGTTGTGAAGTTTGAAGTTGGTAAGTTGTTATCTGGTTGGGCACATATTAAAGTAAAATATATTGATTTTGTGCTGTTCCACTTTTGTAGAACTTGGATATGAACGAACTCTGAAATGATGTGCCATGGACTTGAACCAGTGTTTCTTCTGTTATAGATCGCAAAAGTGCTACTTCTAATTCTATCTCGTAATTTTGCAGAACGCTTGGCTCTCATACGACAACAAAGAGCAGATGCTGCCAAAAAGCGAGAGGAGGAGAAAGCTGGTACATTCTTCTATACTTGCACGCTGGTTGTCTAAGATTCTCTTCCTTAATTTGCCAGGGTTAAATGTTTTGCATATTTTCTGTGCAGCCAAAGAACAGAAGAAGTCGGAAGCCCGCAAGTAACATATGATGGTACTATTGATTCCCAAGTACAAGAGATATCCCTACCAATATTTGGCTAACGATGGAGTTTATATTTCACCGTTCATTTATGTTATTGTCTTAGTTTATAAGTAGACATCTTATAGATGAAATCATGGAATTATATTATAAGCTCTAAATCTTATATACACAATATTTCTGGCCTTAACATGAACAATCATGGGAAGGGTATACTTTTTTTTTTATTGGTTGAATTATTGAGCTATGACTATTTTACAGTATTAGGTAAACTGTGGTGTTTGGTATGAAAAATGTTTAATTTACGGAAAATGTTCCTAAGAAAAGAAGTGGTTCTTCCTTATTTCCCATTGTATGATTGGCCGCAGAGTGTTAACAAGACCGCAGTGATACTGAGGTTCCTTTCCTTCCACTTCTACTTGCACCACAATTTATATGTGATTTGATTCTCTGTGTATTGGTTCCATACTTTGTATTTCTCTTAATCTTAGCGTAAAATTGTGTTATTCACCAGCTTTTTTCAAAGTTGCTATCATGTTTTTGGCTATTTATATCATACACACCTTGGGTCAGCTTATTAGTAGACGTGTTTCATCTGAAGTGAACAGTGCTTTGATGAAATTGTGAGTAAACATGAGTAGTAATATCTGTTATGGTTAGGAGTGTGTGGTGCCACTACAGAGTTGGGAAAGTGTATGGCTATTCTGGAGTTGATCACCTAAAATTCAATTGTTGCAGGAATTTAAATGCAAGTTCCAGCTATGCATATGCTTTTCCTTTCTGTTGGCCAAATTGCTGCTCTGTATTGCTGTGTAACTTGCTTTCTTGACCTGAATAACTTTGGTTGTTCATCCCAATATCACGAATCATAGTCCGCTGCCTCTGTTGCACTTTCCATATTAGTCGTGTCATCCATCTCCTGAGCCTTTGAATAAAATGATATGTTTTGGTGCTAAAAGAGTTGATATGATCTCTTCCCTTTGCCCTTTCTTATGCTTGAATTCCTGTTAGATTGAATCAGTGGCCAAGCTGTTGTACAACAGTTGACTTAACAATTACTCATTTAAAGTGATTCTTTGGGTTCTAGTTCCAGATATCTTTTCTTTTTTACTTAATATGAACATTAAGTTCGTTAATCATGTGTCATTTTCTTAATCTAATTTTCGTAACGAGTTGAAAACTAAGACACTTTTATACTCTCAATCTCAATTATGAGTTGCCTGACTAAAACTTGTTACTAAAATGAGTCATGTTTTTCAACCCTCATCTGAATTGATCCATATGGTATATAATTTGAAAGTTATGTGGATGAAAATTGTTGTGTTGGACGTGTATTTATGAAAATATCTCTCTACTTATAGATCGCTATCCTAATTGTTTTTAATTTCCACTTGTTGAAATATTCTATTTTGATCATCATAGTATATAGGCCAATTAAGCAACCTTTCCCCTCTTTTGATCTTTTATACAATTGCTTCTTCAACACTTAAACCAACCAACACTCACCACTACACCTACTTTACAAACTTTTTTTTTTGGAAAAATTTTTAACCCCTTTTTATTTCATTTGGCTATCTGGCCTTGAAGTTAAAGGAAAGTAAAAAGGGTGGTGTAAGCAATGATTGCTTAGGTGTATAATCCATCCAAATCCAATATGCCAACCCTCTCCATATTGCCAAATATCTTTTGATTAAGTTTCAAAATCCACTTATTTTAACTTAAACAAGTTGGTGTTATGATTAGGAGTAAAGAAAAAAAAGTATTTTAAGGATATATACTAGCTAAGAAGATAGATGTATCATTGAAGAATAAAAACAAAGTGTTTCTCATCTTTAAAAAAACTTGTGGAGAAGAAACAAAGCAGTAAGTTTGCTAGAAATAGCCAATTTATAAGAAAATGACTACTGCTAGATTCATCAAATGTGTTACTGTTGGTGATGGAGCTGTTGGGAAAACTTGTATGCTAATTTCATACACTAGTAATACTTTTCCAACGGTAATAATATTCGTTTTTTCCCCACTTTTTTCCTTAATCTTATCTTCGTTTCATGCATACGAGTTGTTAACTTCATAAGATTAATGTTATTTCATAGGATTATGTTCCAACGGTGTTCGATAACTTCAGTGCAAATGTGGTGGTGGATGGTAGCACTGTTAACCTTGGCCTATGGGATACTGCAGGTAAATTTATTTCTCACATGACTTTTTTAATAACATGGTGTCTGTTTAGTTTGCGTGCATCTTCACCAATTCCATGAATAACAAGTACCAGTTAACTTTGTCCACCAAGACTACGACAGATGATAAGAAATCAACTAATGTTGTTTCGTCTATTATGGAATTTGAACCTGAAACTTCATGGTTCTCGATTCATTTTATTGACCATTAGACCACACCATTGGGTGTATATATAAATTTTGATTCTATTATGAATCTTTTTTTTTCTCTCACTAATATCATTGAAGGGAATATTCTTCGATATTGTGTAGGTATATAAGAACATTTGATTTTGATTTTGTGTGTTGTTGAATTGTTGATTGTGAAATGCAGGACAAGAAGACTATAACAGGCTAAGGCCATTAAGTTACAGAGGAGCTGATGTCTTTTTGCTTGCTTTTTCTCTAATTAGCAAAGCAAGCTATGAGAACATCTACAAAAAGGTTAGTGTATTTATATAAATATCTAGTTTATCAACATGGCCGAAATATATATCATTTATACACTTAGCTGTATATATTGTGTATAACGATGTATACTAAAGTATACACCATTTATACAACGTAAAACTAGATTATCCAAAGATATTAAAACATAATTTTTCCTATTTCTAGTCCTGATTTATTTGTTGATAATTACTTACCAAAAGTTCTAATTATTGATCAACAAACAGTGGATCCCTGAGTTAAGGCACTATGCTCCTACTATACAAATTGTTCTGGTGGGAACTAAACTTGGTAAGATCAATTTAATATTTCATTATGTCATAATTATATATAAGAACATATACTATAACCTAATGTGCAATATGATTTTTATACCTGTTTTAATTTAATTATGCCAGACCTGAGGGAAGACAAACAATATTTAAGTGATCATCCAGGGGCTACTCCTATATCAACTGCCCAGGTGAGTCCCATTATTGACTTGCAATCATTAGCAAATTTCTTAAAAAAAATGATATCTTTATGCCTGGTTGTAGTATTCCTCTATCCTTAATTAGAGATCTTAGAAATGGAGTTGTCTTGACTTTCCCGCGTAAAGTGGGTAGAGTGGCTTGGCTTGTATATATAGGTAGAGACAAATTACAGCAAATGAAATCATTATATATTATATACAAAAAGGTTTTGAAAGGATATCATTATATATCATGTGTATATATACAAGAAGTTTTTAATATATTAACATAAAAGTTTTGAGTTTTTATGGTCAACTTTTCAAACAAATAACAAAAATCTCTAAAATATGAAGTGAAAATCACTTATATTAATCAGTGATTAACAAAAAAAAAAGCTTATTATTCTGTTGTTTATTTTTAATTAGGGAGAGGAATTGAAAAAGATGATAGGAGCGGTTGCCTACATTGAGTGTAGCTCCAAGACTCAGCAGGTATTAATTAACAATTCTGTTATGGCTTAATCAATAATTACCCTCTAAATAAAAATCTTATCAATTAATCCCCAATTTTATTTTATTTTTTCAGAATGTGAAAGCTGTATTTGATACTGCAATTAAGGTAGCATTGCGACCCCCTAAGATGAAGAAAAGGCCCCAAAAAAGGAGGACGTTATGTGCAATTCTATGAATATTAATATGCCTTTTTTTTTTCACATTTCAAATATTATTCAATTATATTCTTATCATTTTGTAAAAGTATAAGAGAAAATGCTCAGTTGTAATTTTTCTTCTTCTTTTTTTTTTTAAAAAAGTCTAGATGTTAGTGATGTATTAAAGTTCCATTTTTTAACATTTGTTCCTTATAATAAAATCTTGTAATAGCTAGTTTTCTTTTTATTATTCCTGATTGCCTTCTAGAATATTTGTTGAAATAATCATTTATAGTAACACGTTTTTCCCCCCTAAAACGTTTAACTATTTTCAAACAAATTAAATTCAACTTGACTGTACAACTATCCGTATTTCAATTTAAGTTTCCGATACCATATTAAATACTTCAAAAAATTATTGATTGGGAAAAATAGACCAACTGCAATAATTGTAATAGTTGCATTAATAATTATCTTCCGTCTCAAATTTGTATAGATACTTTTATTATAAGTGGTAGTGAGAATTATGGTTTCTGTGGTTTGGTGCAGTGGTAAAGTCCGAAATATTTTAGTTATTGATTTTAATACGAAGAAGCAAATCGATAAAAAAGTTATTGGAGATCTAACATTTTTTATTTATTTAAAATATAATTTTAGAAAAAATTATCTAAATACACATCTTATTTTATCATAATACCATTTGAAAGTTTTCAAATACCCTTTCGGATACATCTTTCCCCTCTCGTTGATACATTTCTACCTCCCTCTCGGATACATTCCTCCCTCCATGATACATTCCTTCCCCCTCGGACACATCCCTCTCCTCTCTTATACATCTTTACCCTCTCTGATACATTACTCCCATGTAACTTGATAATGGATATCATATCCCCTCTTTAACAGATCCTCTATGTATCTGAATGTCTACTGATGTATCTGGAAGTACAAAGATATATTCGAAATCTATGTATGGAATCTTTGTAATTTGAAAAATAGTAGAAAAATAATGTAATTAACTCTTATATTATGAGAGTTTTTATCATATATAAATAGTATAATATTTGGTCATACGGAGTTGTCGCTCTTGATAAGTTACATACAAAAAGAATTTTACATTCACTCATCAAATATATATATACACTATTTTGTATCAAAGTCATATATTTTATATGCATATCACATGATAACATCAAAAGGTTATTATTTTGATGGATAATTATTCAATCAATAAAGACATATTATATGAATATACACATACTTGATTACTTAATTTTAATCAACTAATGTATATTTCACTATATATTATAATAAATTAAAAAAATTAATTTGATACAAATATCTGATATCCGAATAAATATTAAGGTCCCATACATTCCATAAGTTAAAAGCTCCTCGGGGATAATGAGTTATATTTTTTTTTTTGACATTTTTTGTGAGTTGTATCAAATCAGAGTGACATATCACACGGGGAGTCGTAGGGATAGTCGACAAGCCATACTACTTGTAAACTTTTGACTTTGCCTCTTCTATTAATCAAGATCTATAGAATACAGAGACGTTAAATATATATAACATTTTTTTAATAAATAAAATTGTCACATGATTCAATTACTAGGCACACCATGCATTTTAGCATTTATCTATCGTCTTTTTAATTATTAAAAAAAAATCATGTATTGAACTATGAAAAATAATCAGTCTACCCATTTTTCTTTGTCCCATGCATTAAGTTTACGCTATTCATTTCATATGTGTAGTCATTAGTCTGTACCTAATCGTTCTAAAATAAAACCCCTAATGAAATAATTATATTAACATAAGTGAAACATCAGCAAGCTCTTACATTGTTATTATTATTATTATAAGAAATCAAGGAATTAATCATAATGTTTACTACGTTTTGTTTGTATTTTAAATGAATGAATATTATCCGATTCAGAAGGAATGTAGGTTATTAAGGAATGATTAATTCTTATAATCATCACCAAAGATCTGTTCCCTATTAATTATATTATATTAATAAAACATCCCAATTAACTAGGCAGACAAATATGTCCTGGCATTTTAAGTTGACATAATTAGAGAGAGTCCTAGCATCATTATTTTAAATATATCTCTGATTTTCCATTGTGTCTCAAGAATTTCTATAGAGTTCTTGAACTTTTAATTTTTTTTAATGGAACTTTCATTTTAGGTCAAATACATAAATAGACATCTAAACTTGTTGAGTTTTTTCCTTCAGGTATCTCATCCATAATTTGTTCTTTTAAAACACTGTTGGTTGATTTTGATCGGCTTTTCTATTGTAAATGTCTTCAATTGTGTTCGAATTGTAATGATTTTGATTAAAGAAATGAATACAAATCATGTTAGTCTCATTTATTTTCTAATGTGTTCAAATAACTTATGTAAAACACAATTATTCTCAAACATTTTCACTATCAATTGGACTAATGAGTTCTGGAACAACATATGTATCCTCTATAAATACCCCTCACAAATTTGGTTCCACATTAGACAACGGTGTTTCTTTAAACGGAACAAATTATGGGTGGTTCAATGATTCAATAGGAAAATGACGTAGTTGAGGCACCTGAAGAAAAAACCCAATAAGTTTAGAAATCTGTTTATGTATTTGACCTTCATTTTAACTTAAAAGGGCTACAAATTGGATGACAAATTTAACGAGTTGATTTACCATATAGTCATTAATAAACAAATTGTTATTACTTAAAAATTCTTCTTTCTTAAAAAAAAAATGAATTTATAAAATAATAAATTACGAAAAATTAGATCAATTTTAAATTAAACCAATCTAGGTGAACGGAAAGAGAAAAAAAAAACACAATGTGGTCAAGTTGTTTCACCTAGCCCAATATGCATCCAATAGCCTGGTATTTTTGACTTTTGCTTTATGAAAATAACATATTTTATGTTATCTTGTTTTTGTGAATATGTAGCTAGCAATTTATTTTACCATGAATAACTCAATTCCAATTAAATAATCACGGTTAAGAATAAATTAACTAAATAATCTAAATTTAAGTAAGGTACGGAAAGCGGCAAAGTTCTCAAAATTTGCGTAATTATTCTATTGAATATCATAATGTATAATATAGTTTGACTTCTAACGGAAATGTACGGTACAATCACCTTAATTAGATAAAAATAAAATAAACTTTAGGCAGTTTGTAGTATATATTATTAACCTCTATTGATGATTTTTGGACCTTCATTGGAACATGTAACATTTACAAAGATTCTAAATTAATCGGAATATATGTTAACACCTGATTACTATACCTAACGAACCAAACTTTTTGCAAATATATTAATCCTTCCTCAATCCTTATATTTTTAAGCACTCTAAGATACATTCTACATATTCCTAAAATTGAGGGCCTTCTCTTTCCTTCTTTTCTAGGTGTTCAAAAGTCACATTAAAGTTCGATCAAATTCTAATCGTGCACTCCGTGATTTATTTGGAATGACGCTTTAAATATTATTTTTGTCATATTTAAAGCTCAAACTCGAAATTTATAATTAAGGATGAATCAGTCCCACTACTGTATCATAACTCATAGTAATAAAATTATTTTAAACCTCACCTCAAAGTTAAGAAGAAAGCCATTCCAGAAGAGGGTTTTAAAACAGTTTCAAGTTTCCCAATACCATGACACCGTTGTTGGTATTAGACATGATATTTTAAAGAGTATTTTAGCTATTAAAAAAAGATTTAAATTAAATATACGTTACTATTGTAAACGATTTTTCTACTAACGTATTTTAACTTGTTGTAACGGTAGCCTACTTTATTTTTAATCATGGTACTAAGCTCCCGTTATTATGAATGGTTACTTGTAAATCAATAGTGTAAAAGTTCATTTCTTATTGTTAATGACAACAACTTTTTCTTGGAACCTATTAAAGAATGACAAAAGTTCCACATATTAATGAGATGAGTGGATTTTTTATAAGGCTTAGGCAATTCTCTTCAGACCTAATTTCATATGGTATCAGAACAGGGCCCGTCTCACCCGATGTTGGGTCTATCCATCTGTTGCACCAATGCAATTACCCTGAAAATATATAACTAAACGAATGAATTAAGTGGTTAATTGCTAGGTGATGAAGTAAAAGCTCTAAGAGCATTTAAGTGAAGTTCAGATAGTAGTTTTATAGAATACTTTTTTATATATAATATAATATATTAGGGGTCCTCAATTTCCAAGAGGTCGAATTCAAGAAGTAAAAAAAACAAAAACAATATGTAGGCGTAATTCACGGATCATTAGACACGATCGATAAGCTGTTGGTTGTGTTCAATAAAAACAAATCAGATCCCTATTATTTTGTTATGTACAATATTCACTAACTTTTTAGCTTTTGAAGGATCCACAAATAAACAAAGATAACAACAATTAACACCCTAAAAAAAAACAATCTACGAGATAAAAATGAACTTATAAATGCTTCAATATATGAACTTAGTAGATAGACTATAGTCTATACACCATCTATGATTATAAATCTTAAGGTTAATACATTGACATTACCTCAAATTTGAATACAAATTTTATTAGGTACTAAATTCAGATTTGTTTCAATTAAGCATCTGCATATGACATAAAAATTTTTTATTAAATATCTTCGATTCAAAATTTAGTACTATCGTGGCCGAAATATTGAAATGGAATTGTATATTTTTGTTTGCATGTGCAGGAAAATAATGAATGGGGCAAGTCTTAGCATTTAATCGAACATGTTGTGGTTGTATTTACTGCATGCACGTTTGCATGGATTAAATGCTGTTGGCGCTTTTTGCGCAACACACTCATACCCATTTCCTTATATTTTATTTTAATAATAATAATAATAATAATAAATAATAATAATAATAATAGAACATTCAGTATAATCATGTGATGGGTTCTATCATCTATATGCCCTATATAACACACACATTGTTTCATTAACCCTCATCAACTCAGAGCATAAGGATGGCGGTGAAGTTCACTGGATACAGGATCGTTTTTGTTAAAAAAATTTTGTTTATAAAGTGAATTTTTTTTTATGTTAATTCAAATGTGATTGAATTCTAATATAAATATCGAACACAAAATAAATTTTTTTGTAAAAAAAATTTAAAAATTAAAAGTCAAAAGCAAAATGCATCACACTTAACTTATAGGTGTACAACTCATAATATATATAATAGTTAGTATTTTTGGCT